GCTAGCGACAATTAAACACAACCAACCATAACTTCTCGAGCTCTCCGGTCAGGGCCGGCGGCGAAGCTTACTTGAGTCAAGACCCCCAAGTTGCTTCAAGTCATGGTCAACTTGCAGTCGACAGACGAAGCCACTGAAGGTTATGTCCTCCTAAGAAGCGATCCTCGATGGTGGTCTAATCAGGGAATTACCCTCAAAATACGACACTTGTGATTTTGTTGTGAATCTGACGATGCCGCAGCAAGTACCCCCTTCGAAGGTGGCAGAGAGACCCAGTGAAGTCAAGAATCCTACATTAGTCAGCTGCTGATGTATGTATTATACCGATTCGTGAGTGTTCGAGGCAAGCCATGGAATGGGGATTCAGATCTGGATCGAAAAGGGTTGCATGAAGGGATCGTTGGATTTCTCTTGAAATCCTACGCTTGTCGAAGTGATGGAGAGTGATGGTCGCCCGATCAAATATGTTTGGTTTGTCCCTAGTTTGGACTGTGATCGACGTTGTATCGTTCCGAAATCTGGATCCTTGACGCACACGGAAAACCTGCACTCAGTCAATGGCCAGAGATTTGCCAACCTTTTCGCACTACCGATTGATTGGACTTTCAAGATGATCGGGAACTCGCTGGACCCATACCTGGTCTTCGCGAATTTGCCCGTTACTAACACATTACCACCCCTGCGTGCCGCTCTTCTTTCCAAATCGCAAGAATTGGTTTGCCAGATCGGTATATAAGGCTGGAAGGTATCTATCCAACTTGGCATCTTGTTACACCCTTCCTGCACAAATTACTCCTCGACAAACGGCAAACGGCACACAGAAGTAATGGCATTCACGGATTGGCACTCAGGTCACTCGATGTCCACAGCAAAACAGCAGCATGAATTCGTCTGCATGTCGACAACTGTCGATGACCTCTCGTATACTCCTTCGGAGCAGGAACGATCGCGAGACGCTGCACAATTCGTCGCCACTGGAAGGCGTAGCTGGAAGACTCTAAAGGGCAAAGGAGAGGCTGTGTGGCCACCATTGCTGTAAGTCCATCTACTCTGTCTTAGTCTTAACACATTTCTTAACTTGCTTTAGAGAAGCGGCGTTGATTGAAGGTACCTCTTTCTTTATTTAAATGGAAGCAAGATATTTATGTCTCCTAGCCCTTGAAAATTATCAACCGGACGCCGTGGGATCGAAGTCGAGCAAAAATCTTGGACGTTTTCCAATGCGAAACCGATTTATATCGGACTACATCTTCGCGACAACAGGGAAGATGAGAACACCCAAACAAGTTGGCAGCCGTCTTCAGCAATTACGCGACACATGCAAAGGAGATAAGAGTGAGTCCATGATCATTGTGTGCCAATGCTCTCTAATTAATGATTTCAGTCCTTCACCTTATCTCTCACCGACATACTCCTGAGCCAACGTCCACAAGTTCCCCTTCAGAGTACAGTGGCGGGGCTTCCCCAACTCCGCCACCCGATAGTCGCCTTCCCACTCCGAAGCCGAAGCCTGTGGTCGTCTATGTGATGATTTGCCTACAAGAGGATTTGTGGCCTGCTCCAACTCCATCGGTACACTTCGTTAATAACGACACGTTAACTCCCCAACGTATACAATTGGCTCCGTCTCCGTGTGCGCCTCGAGGTCGAGGCAGCGGATCTTGCACGTCGTCAGTTCTCCGCTCTCTTTCGGGTTCCGTGGAGTTTCCCTCCCCGTGCGCCTTGGTGCTCCAGTCGTCATTTAATATCTACATGAATGGGTCGAATTCACCGGTACATTCGGAAATTGTTCCCCTGAGATGCATATCGTCGCCAATGCAAAGGTCAGGATGGCTGTACACTTCAGAATTTGCGCCGAATTTCTGGGAGACGCTATGTTCCAGCCGGGGTATGTCTTCCGGTTACGTTGCTTTATTGTTCTCATCTATGATTAGACTTGACTCGATTTACCATAACACAAACGTTGAAGCCAATCCGTTCGGGCCAATCCTCCGACAAGGGCGAAAGGGAAGATTCGAGCCGTCCTATATCTATCATCTACAAGTTTAGTGTCCCTGAACTAAAGCTGCGGGAGGAACCGAATTTGTCCATTTATTCATCGATAACTCCCAACGAGGTGAGATCATAATTTATTGTCACCAGTCAGTGCATCGAAACTGACTTGTCGGTCCGACAGCCTCCCGTTTCGCAGCGTCAACTAACGGGGACTTCGAATTACGATTCATGGAAAAGCTCTCAGTACGAAGGCGTGGACATCGGCTGGTCTCAACCACTCCCGACAAATTACCTTGAAAACCCATCCATTTCTATGTGTCCATCGCTTGAGAGCTCATCTCACGCCTCATACGTTTCGGAACACCAGCCCCTTCAACACGGAGCGCCTCACAGTCGAGGATATCCAAGATACGACGCCCATGCCGAAGCTATCCAGCCGGCGAATGCTTACTATCGTGACTCGGCCCCAATCAGTGCCTCTTGGTCCAATACCCAGTGTGCACAGGGCCTTTATCTTCAAAACTTTGGGCCGTCATACTCCTAGGGTGGCTTCATTGGATCTTCTTTCTATCAACTAATTTATCAATGTGGTGAAAGTGCCACCTCTCTATTTATTACTCACTGGTTATGGTCGTATCGGATTGACTTCTATAGAGTTGGAATGTATCAGTAGGTCTTGTAGCATAAAGTTTGAGGCATTATCAAATGTAGCTCCTTTCATCCCTAGAAAAAAGCGCCGCGCGCTTTCGGTAGTAACCTAAATAGATATACTCTCTTTCGGTCTCGCGTCGTTCGATTGCAACACACGACTGTCTGAGTCTTCTTGCGAATTTTTCTTTCCGTGAGCGATTCCCATAACGTTGAACTTGTGAAGACGGTAATAATCTTGGACGATCGAGACGCCACATATGCTCTGGACCAAAATCAAAGATCGAAACAAGGGGAATGATTGACGACTGACCTTGAAGACTTCCATCAGGATGAATACCTGAGGATTTTCCAGATCCACAACGTGGCCTTCAGGGACACATTGTGCAACATGTTCAATCAATGTTGACCGAGGAATAGTGGTATGATTCCGGATCCGAAGTTCGATCTTATACTATCAGAAGAAGTTATAAATTGCTCAGAATCAGGTGCCTGCGTCGGGGCTTACCTTGAATTGCTGACCCTCGTGGCGATCAAAAAAATCCTTGAAGACATTCTTACAAAGATTCTGTACTTCTGGAAGGTTTGCCACGCAGGTTCCAGAAACTGGGACGAGTCGATGGGTATATCTAGACATCATCAGCCAAGTCACGGGTCAAGATGTGTACGACATTACGACACCACCGTTTGCTGACCTTGTTCTTGTAATGCCCGTGGCTTCAACACTTTCTATGTATTTGACGACAAGCTCCACAGGGTCAACGGGGGGTTTGCAAGATATGAACACGACTATAGCTTCGTAAGCCAAGGACGACGAAATTAAGGGCGAAAGACGAAATACACACCACATGGTGTATTCGTTTGGCAGTTCGCTATCTCTAAGATCAGCGGGTATTTCTAAACGAAGAAGAGTTTGACTTGCTGAACCGGTTTCCCGCATTTCGAGCTCTGGGGCGCTGCATGGCCGACAACTCGTTTGCAATCTGAGCCTCAAGACTAAGTTCAGTGTCCCGTTGCTCGCCATCGGAGTCAGGAGCCTCTTCTTGTTCAGCCATTGGCCAAATCTCAGACGCCATCTGCAGACCCAAATCAGTGGCGAAATAACGCACACTCAATGCGGGCGCACTGATTCAAATAATTCATAGATTTCCCCGACTGTCTGCTTTTCCTTGCCCTTCACACCTACACCTCATTTGAGCCACAGTCGTCGAAATCATATCGCTCACGCACAGCTCACCCATACTCCAGGTCCTTCAACATGTCGCTTGCCCCAGATTGGTGTCCCATCCTTATTAATATGTCTTACAATCTGGGCCAATCAAGAGGATGATTTTTCTCACAGATCGATATTTTTTCTTCCTTCTATTATCGCCACCTTCTGACTTTCTTTTTGGGTCTGACATTTGACTTCACCGATGGACAATATATCGTTAGACCAGACGTTTGGGAAAGCAATCGAGAGGTAAAGAACAAGTACAATTGCTGAAAATGCCAAGACAGCAGATAAGATCCATTCGGGCCGAGCTTCAACAGATTCGGCAACTTGAAGACTGCGGACAAACAGCCGACCGCACCCCGCCGCAGCCCGCCGCACCCTCCAATCCAAGTTCGTTAGGTCGATATCAAAGTGTTATTCAAACAAACTGATGTTCTGCCCTAAGTCAAAACTGACCTGAAACTAGATCACGAGGAGCAGTCGGACATGTTTTTCTACCGTGTTACCCGCACAAAGACCCTGCCCCCAAGATTTCCAACTATATAGGAAATGATCTTGAATGGTCTTTTTGGGATACTTGAAACTCAGGTGTCATGGATTCGATCGAGGGAAATCCCTCCAGTCCTCAACCTCCAAGGCTGACAGAGGATAACAGACGCTGTGCGCGAACCGTATGGCTATGGCTATGAGAATTGCCGAACCCTTATTGAAGCTCATGTGCACGATTGGACTAGGAGCAGTCTGACCCAGACCGTCCGACAAAGCAGCTTTGTCAAAATACGACATGATAGGCGGTCATTTTGAGGCCAAGGTTCCTGCAACTTGATCGATACTCCAAGTGGCGCACGCCCTCAGATGGTGAGGATCCATGAGGATCCCACGTTACCCAGAGAATGAATATGAATATCTTGCCCCATCATCAAAAAAGGGGTTGAGTGCCCAATGTCCAGAAGTATACCCTGATCTTAATCACGAGTCTGCCTTCCCATTGAGTTGTGCCCTGCGCGTTTGAATGCGTTCGACCTTGATCACAGCAGCCCTTGTTGAAAGACATTGCGGGGAAGCGTTGTTCTACTTTGAGCAGTACTACGGTTGCGCAAGACTCTGCGAATGTGGATGCCATGTACTTGACGAGAAGTATGCCGCGTTGGCGTAGTGGTAGCGCGTCCCACTTGTACCATGTGATGTTTCGCATGAACAGCAATGGGAAGGTCATTCGTTCAATCCGGGTACGTGGCATTCTTTTTCTTTTGTTGTGATTGTGCATACTTTTTGGTGTTGATGCTGGAGATGAGCAGAATATTACGGGTTGCCTTTTAAAGTTCAGTGTTTCGAGAGTGGATGATCGCACGTGACGTAAGCGCGCCCTTCAAGATTGCATTCTTGTCCTGTCGTTCATATCGTTACGCATCCACCATGGCCGACGTTATTGATTCCATGTTGGATCTCATGCGACGTCTTCCTCCCCCGCGGACGGAAGAAAATGTCGCAGCCCTTGTTGGAATTTGCCCAGAGGATGCTGATGAGTTGTTGCAAAGCGTCGATCAACCGCTGCAAGTGAAAGTGGATCGGGCAACGGGGAGAGAATATCTTGCTTGTGATTATAATAGGGATGGAGAGAGCTATAGGTGTGTGTCATTCTAAACTCTCTTGCATGCGGGGCGGTGCATTGCAAGTTGGATTACTTCAAAGGTCAAATGCTCAGTTTTTGACGTATCCATATGCCCCAAAAGATCCCCTTGGTCGAACGATTACGACCCCCCGCTTGATGATGGAGCCGTGCCCTCTATGAAGATGCGGAAACTCGAGATCCAGGCGAACGAAGCGTTTGACACCTATCGAGAAATGTACTACGAAGGAGGTGTTTCATCCGTCTATCTATGGGATCCAGAAGATCCTAGCGGTGGAGGGAGCTTTGCAGGAGTCGTTGTCCTCAAAAAGAGTGCGCCCTCTTATCAGCCCGGGCCATGCACCCGTGTCATTGAATAAGCTTCATCTCATCCTGTTGTTACAGCGATGACACCTGCCTCGGCCTATGAACCTTCAGGTTCTTGGGACTCTATACATGTTTTCGAAACGGTTGAGCGGGGGAGACAGGCGCATTACAAGCTAACGTCGACCGTCATGCTTCACCTTGTCACAAGGAAAGGGGGCGAAAGTGATAAGGCGGCTCAAGCTAATGCGGATAAGAAAGGTCCGGAAGGATGGAAAAGGGATGGGGAAGTCAGCTTGAGTGGCAGTATGACGCGTCAGGTGTGTATTGAGCGCCGAAGTGTATGATTGCATCTACCGAGAATTGATATGTTGTCTCCAATAGACAGAACAAGATTGGCCGCTCCACGAAACTGCCTCGCACATCTCGAACATTGGAAGGATGATAGAAGAGATGGAAATTAAGATGAGAAATCTATTACAAGAGGTTACCCAATTGTTGATCTCTTATGTGCCATCCTGACGAGTTTACTATAGGTTTACTTTGGCAAGACGCGTGATATTGTGTATGACCTCCGTAGCGTTGATGATTTGGAGAAAGCCCGAAGACAAAAAGAGCTGCAGAAGGAACTTGTTGGGTTCATCAAGCGGTGACCATGCATCAGAAGGGAAGATAATCTTGTATTTTAGATAGCATGCAGTCAATTGGATGCGGTCGACTGAGCAATGTGATGGCGGACTCACTAAGCGACGTCCTTCCTGGTCTGGGCTTACGGGTATGATGGATAGGATTGTAACCAGGCAGGCGCGGTAACTATCTAAGTGCGCACTAAGGACTGGACTAGTATATATGGCAGTGGACTGACTGCCTGTCTTGTTACTCTCAGGACCCCTTTATGCTTTCTCCCGCGCATTAGAACCGTTTTGGTCAAGGCGACATTTCTCATACACATCGAAAATGGATGTTAATCTGCCTAATTAGCGTGTTATCAGCGCCTGCCGCCGAGCTCTGCGTCGGCAATCGGATTCGAATGGATGGTGACCTAGAAACCGGGAGATAGAGGGTCACACGTCAGCGGAATGTTCGAATGCGACCGTCCAGCACACACATTGATCACTTTGATCTCGTTCAGCGGTCTGTTCTTATTGTTGACCGGTACACGTTCGATGGCGTCAAGAGTCGAGTCTGCTCCATCGATCACCTTCCCGAAAATGGTGTGCTTGCCGTCAAGATGGGGCTGTTTTGCATAAGTGATGAAGAACTGCGATTTGTTTGAGTCCGAGTCATTGCCTGAATTGGCCATCGCGACGACTCCTCGGGTATTAAACTGTTTGGAACGGCATGCGCGGATCAGAAGGCGGACTCGTGAAGGAGAATGTATGGGGAACCAACCTTCAAAGTTGACCTGATCTCATCTGAGAACGGAGCCCCCCAGATGCTCTGACCTCCTTTACCAGTGCCAGTGGGATCACCCGTTTGGACTATAAATCCACGAATATTGCGATGAAAGAGACATTCATTATAGTATCCCGACGCGCATAATGCAAGGAAATTCTGTGGCAGGAAGTAAATTAGATAAAAAGTGACAGATTTGAATACTACTTACTTCTGCTGCTTTTGGCACCGCTTCACAAAATATTTCTATCTGGTGGGAGAATGAGTACATCTGATCCTACTCTCGGCTTTAAGGAGTCACCTTGAGGTCTCCGTGGGTCGTATGGAGAGTAACAGACTGTGTATTTGTCAGTGCATGAGGGCGGTGATGGGTGGAACAGACAACAATACCATTTTTGTGCAGAATTGGACGCGTGACAGCGATGCGACTGAAGATGATGTGACGGTAGAAGCCCTGTCACATATATTGATCAGACCGCGTAAATATAGGAATCGGTGTGCATCCCTCGCCGTATTTCCCTTCCTCTCACTTCTTCTTTACGACCATCAGATACCGTGCAATGCGCTCCCCGTCCCTATACAGCCAGGATGACCCCATTACTGCAGCGATGAAGCCTCCATTGACAGAGACAGAGGCCGAGCGCAGTGCCCGACTCTACGCAGAGGCCGAGGCGAAGCGCATTTCAGAACAGATAGACGAAGATCTGAGAGAGGAACGTGAGCGTCTGAAGAAGAAGAAGGGAGATGTAAAGGTGCGAATTCTGTAACCGATACTATATGCGCGTTCATTGACCCTTGGCGATTATTCTGTTAGCTTCTCCTGCTGGGTCAGGCCGAGAGCGGCAAGTCGACGCTTCAAAAACAATTCCAATTGATGTACAAGCCGAACTCCCTGGACCAGGAGCGCTCTTCGTGGAAAACAGTCATCTACTTCAACATCGTTCATTCCTTGAAACATATTCTGAACACACTTGAGACATGGGATGACGTCCTAGACGACGACGCAGAGGCTCATGATGATATTCAGTCAATTTCTGCTACAAAGAAACTGCGCGGTAACGGAATTGCCGACCAGCCATCTCCCTCAACATCTCTGATGGATGGCAGTGTTATACACGGTTCCCCGAACTCCGTTGCTCGGTCCGAAGCGGACGGATCGGCAAGCCATTCTACGTCGTCTAAGGATTCTAGCGCACTCCAAATCGCCAACCTGCGGCGCAGGCTATCACCGTTGATTGCAACGGACTCTCAACTTGCTGACCGCTTAAGCGGTGGAATCTCCGTTTCCGGGTCTGGAAAAGGTGGAGTCTATGTGCGAAGTGGTTGGCAAGCTCGGACGATCGAGAATGCTCTAGGCAAAATTAAGCCTAAACGACCAGCTTCTGCCACGAATGACAAAAGGGGTCGTGAGAGTCTGTCCCAGGACACGCCGCTGGATCCCATGGTTCAAGAGACTGGGCGTCTGCTAGAAGCTTGCGAGGAGGATATTCAAGAACTGTGGAGCCATCCGACTGTCAAGGGCCTCATCACCAAACGTCGATTGAAGCTCGACGAATGGTCCGAATTGTATGCCCATTAGAGTTCTACCCAGGGTTTTTTTCTCATCTTCCCACCATTCGTATTTAGCTTCCTCAGGGACATTTCTCGTGTCGCGTCACCCGAATACGTTCCTACGACAGGTGAGAGCTGTTTTTTTGTGTGAATATCGCGCATATATTCAAGATATTTTCCCTCAGATGACATATTGCATGCGCGTATCCAGACGATGGGTGTTGCAGAACATATCTTCGACGTGAATATCCACGGAAAGTCAGTAACTTGGCATCTGTTCGATGTGGGCGGTGCGAGGGGACAGCGCCATTCATGGGTGCCATACTTTGACGACGCAAACGCCATCATCTTCGTCGCACCCGTGAGCGCCTTTGATCAGGTGTGTCTCTTTCCCCAGTCTTCCATGTTGGCAGAAGCATGGTCGGCAACCCCATGCTTCTGTTTCCACAACGCCTTCCCTATCATTTTCTTCGATTTATGCTTGGCAACTTTATATTCACTGTGACTTATATCTATTGTTATAGTACCTCGAGGAAGACCCAAGGACGAATCGAATTGACGACTCGCTGCAACTCTTCACGCAAATCTGTTCTAATGCCCTTCTCAAAAGTGTGCATTTGGTTCTTTTCTTGAGTGCGTGAAACTTGTGGATTTCTTGATGATTGGCATTGATCACTCGGCACATGGTTAGATAAAACCGACCTGCTAAGGTCGAAGCTCGACTCCGGCCTGAAGGTCCGGAAATAGTGAGAAACAACCATGCCATGTGTTAGATAAGGGATCAACGCTTACCCCGCTTTTCTTCCCACGTAGCATCACGTCCTTTGGTGAACGACACAACGACTACGAGACGGTCGTCCAATACTTCCGCGCCCATTTCCTTCAAGTTCATCGACGGAACAACGAAAACCGGCGAGTGTTGTATACACATTTTACCAGTGTGGTGGTGCGTATCCTCGGAATCATCCGATCTTCTTTCTTATTGAGGTTTTACCTCACAGGATACGAAAGCGACCCAGCGTATTATTGGCAACGGTTAGTTCCGATGTGTTCTTGGTATCTATGCTAGTCTGACATTGTCTCCAATCCAGTCCGCGATTCTATCTTTAGAGGCTATCTCCAATCTGCCGCCCTGGTATGATCTACAATGTGCACGCTTTTGATCACACTCTCCCTCGTGTCAATCCATCACGAATTCTTCGAAGGCCGCTAGGACGCTCTTCTGGATAACCGTGTTATTTGCTATTTTACATTACGTCTTTCTTTGCGGTGTGCTTCGCTGCTGATGCTTTGACACCTAATATTTTGTTCGTCATTTTGGTCCCCCACTCTGGTATCAGTATGTACTCTTGACACTCTA